TTCAAACTTTTCGCCCTTGGCTTATAACAGGGAAAGGAAAACTGCAAATGTGAATTTGGCAGATGAGATTTGAATAGCTGTGTGTGAGGTGCATTTTTTTGTATTCGAAATTTCTTCAATCATTCGTGCCGATTCGATTTTCATTACGCCAGGATCAGTTGAGATTTATTTGGAAATGCTCAGAATTCATAGCTATCAACCAAATGAAGAAAAAAAAGAAAACTTTCTGGATAAAAGTTGTGAAAAAATATATGTCCTCTCATCAGAATATGGTGACTAACTGGAAAATATAATTCTTCTGATGCCATTTCCGTCATTTTGTGATATAAGTCCTCGCAATATAGGTATATTGTAAATATGGAGTCCTCGCAACAGGCAAAGCTGCGAAGTTATGGTCGAGAACCAAAGCATATTATTATCTTGAATGATTGTTCAATATGTCTTGAAAAATGTTCATATTTCTTCCAAATACTGATTCATTTACAAATCTATACTTATCAAGTTTGCGACCATCAAATAACTCCTAAATATTATTTCTTCTGCAACTCATTTATGTATGGTCGAAAACCAATTTGGCCTTATTCAGTTCTCGAGAAGTGATCGAGAACCAGATTGAACTAAATTTTGGTTCTCGACCATATCATATCTGATGATTATCGCTCTTCCCACACAGCACATGTATGTCCAATGTACGTACAATGTACGTCCACGTCGGATCGTAAGGACGTCCAATGGAAGTACTCGAGTGGACGTTTAACATCCTATGGACGTCCACTGGATGTCCTGATGACACCACTTTGGACGTACTGTGTATGTCTTCATGTGGATGTACAGTGGATGTTCATATTTGGACTCACAATGGATGTACATGTCTGAGCATCCATTGGACGTACCAAATTAGACGTTAAACGTTCAATGAAAGTCCATTGGATGTCTTGTGGACACCACTTTGGACGTACATTGGATGTTTACATGTGGGTGTATAATGGTTGCTCATCTGTGGGAATCAAATGATGAATAATCAGTAGGTGGCAAATATGAATTCTCCTATTGAGATATATTTTTGGTGTCGATTGCATATATATAAATATATTGTTGATTCATGTCTTCTTCAGCCCACTTCAAATTCTTGTTTCTGTAAAGAAAGAGAAATATTATAAATTGCTATATAGGTAGAAATCGATTGTCTCCTGTTCAGCTTAACTCTGACTGGTGAATGAAGCCTTATTCACATTGCTATATACTTAGGTACTTCTTCTATCAAGCCGCCTATCAAAAATCAATAACAACCTGTAGGATGATAAAGCATAAGATTATCACTATATTAGATAATATATCAAGTCACATTCGGACATGCTTGCTTTCATACCTACTTTAAATGATCTGGTCCTGAATATTCAGCATTCCACAATTCATCACAAACACGACACATCATGTTTACGGTCATTTACCAGCTGAAATGCAATGGCATCAGAATCACGCCAGACGCTACCGCTACTCTACCGACCGATCTGACCTTCTGCCTCCCCTCCACGTGGCTGAAAAATCAATAGTCTTACGTCCATTTCTGAACGTACAATGTACGTTCATTCAGCGTCCATAAACCTTCATATTTAAAATGATTTCATACAGACATTTACTTTGAACAATTATTTATATACATATAAATATAATATTCATTCTTCATCCATTAACGCTTGAACTCAGAATGGCCGTTAAATGGACATCCAATGTAAGTTTAATTTGAATCATCCAATGTACGTCCGTCTTTGTACGTACAATGGATGTTGATCAAACGTCCACGAGAGTTTTAGTCCTTGAGTTGACATAAAATGGATGTCCAACGGACGGTAATTTTGAGACATACATATAAGTACAATGAATTTACATTCTACGTACATGCGTGGTTGGACATTGAGTGGACGCCCACTGTACATACAATTTGAAGCATCCAATGATAATCCATGTTTGTACGTACATTGGATGTCCATTCAATGTCCATGGACGTTTGGAATTGAAATGAACCTAAAATGGACGTCCAATGGATGTCATGTGCTGTATGGGTTATGACTAAGTATAAAATGATATTTACAATAAAATATCAATCATATTTCACCATGAAGTACCTATTGCATGTATTGAATACCTATAAGAGCATTGAGTGTAAATTCAAATTTAGATATCATATGAGTACATAATAATCGTCCACAACGCATATTTCATGTGCTAAAGATGATTCCCTCACAGGATCCTCGCTACAGGTCATTTGGTTCAAAGTTCTCATGAATCCCCCCTTCAACGTATATGTATATCTATGTATGTACATACAGGTGAGGCAAATAAACGCATATTAACAAAGCGCCACTCTCAACTATGCGATTTCGAAAGACATAAGAGCAAATCAGAAACATATGGAAAACATTTAAGAAATATATTCCTTCCTGAAATGAATTTCCGTGGGGATTCATAATGGAATGTATTACTCTAGCAAGAGAATAGCAATGATCCTTCATAGTGTAAAATCAGCGAAAGGAAGCAAGAAAATCACAGAAAAATAATTTGGAATGGGATTCTTGCTGTAAAATGTCTGGAGTAGCCAACTACCTCGAGGAATTTTGAGACGTTATCCATGACACCAATAATTATACATACATACCAGGCGTCAACGAATGTATTAAACAAGCCATAACCTCTGAAATTTTCGGTGTATCGAAATGAAATTTTTGGTCACTTCGGGTTTCACCAGAAATGGTTCCAGTTTGGCATTTTCGAATTCTCAAGAAAATTCTGAATCAGAATATGACATTTCCAGAAGTTTTAACGACTACTTCATTTCTTCAGAGTTAATTTCAATTTTGCACATAGGTGGCCATTAATGGACATAAAATCATCTAAACACCTCAAGTGATGTCAAAAACTCATTGGCGCAAAGTTGTTGTGACTAGTACGATAGATAGGAAGAAGACAAGTTGAAAAAATTCCATTTCCGTGTCTAACTATTATTTTTCAAATGGCAACCAATTTTCCACAAGAACTTTCCGAGAAGAGGATTTTTCGATAAACCTAACGATATACTAATTTATTTTCGATTGGATTGATTCGGAATTCGAATGCAATATAATATAGGAGTATTAGGAAACTAGGGCATCTGGTCACGAGGTCAAATCAATTAGATATATTCGCCGGTTGCTTCAATGTGATGACCAGTGTTACCAGGTATATAGTTTTGTGCTAGATCTACCGTTTGTATAGTGGGAAGTACCACTCTACCGCAGATCCTCAATATCTACCGCTAAGATTCTTATTTGAAAACTTCTCACCTCAATATCTTCCTTTCAGTGGATAATATGAGAAATCAAACAAACAGGTCGATTTTATTTTTAAGGGAGACACTTAAAATTATAAGTGTTAGTCCTCTTTGTTCAACCCCCGAGAAAGAGTAGATGTTAAATGGTACATTATTCCAAAGGGCGTTCAATTCCCTTCCTAACGGTACCCCAGTTTATCATTTTCTGCTGAGCAGTTTCCGATAAATGCCGTATCACTTAGAAAACTTCGCCCCGCAATACCCCCTTTTCGTTAAATGGTATGTGAAATCGGAAAGACACGTCATTCCAATTCCCAAAGAAGATACTTGGAATGCATATTTTTAGCCCTCTTAGTCCAACCCCCTAGGAGGCGTAGATCTTCTCCTCGGAGCCTTATATGAAAAGAGGGGTCGAGATTATCACATTATTTCGACAGGCGTTCTAGTATCTTTCCAACAATACCCTAGTTTTTTTTCTCGAAAAATGCCGTACTAAACTTACAGAAGTAATTAGAACATGCCTGCGCTGAGATGCATAGTTTTCAGGTAAGTACTATTGTAATGACTCTCCTTTTAGTCCAAATGGTAGTGATATTTTGATTGCATCTGAGCATCTCATCAACAGGTATGTTCTGATCACTTAGAAATAATAAACAAGAGTACTGTTGGAAAGGGAATTGAACGCGCTTTGAAATAATCTATATTGTTACGACCCTGGCGATCAATCCCAGCTACCTGCGATGAAAGTAAACAAGCCATATTTCTTGGAATAGTAATTAGGTGATTCGACGGCTATTGAGATGACTCGAGAAGATTATCGACCTGTTCACGATATTTCGAGTGGAATCTAGACGTTTTATTAGGTAATATAAATAGATGTTGTTAGGGACAGGGAGAGGAAGTCTTTATTTGGAAGCGTTATAATAACGATCGGAGAAGTGTTGTGAATCGGAAGTGTTTAGTACGAGTATTGTAATTATTGTATAGTAGTGTTCAGAATAAATTGTTTTAAGTGTTATACCGAGTGTTAAGTTATTACGGACCCAGAGTAAAATCGTAACAATATCTTGACCCCCTGCTGATATAAGGTTCTAAGGGTAACATCTACCCCTCCTAGGGTTTTGGGCCAAGATTTTCAAAAATTGCACCCAAATTGTCCCCTTCGAGAGTGAAATTGACCTATCGTTCCGATTTTTCATATAATTTACTAGACTGATTGAAACGAAATTTTTCGGAAACTGCTCAACAAAAAAAGATATACTAGGGTACCTTTAGAAACATAATTGAGCGCCTTTCAAAATGATGTGCCACTTGACCCCCCTCCTCATCTGAGAGGGGTTGAACCAAGTAGGCTAGAACTATTCATTATAAGTGTCCTCCTTGAAAATAAAATTGACCTGTCCTTTCAGTTTTTCATATGAAAGATATAGAGGGTGGAAAGTTTTCCAAATATCACCCTGTTTACCTCAATGTGAAATGTGATTAATATATCATCAAAATCATTAACTCACAGTCTATTGAGTGATAACAAAACTGAATAGGTTTGTCGAAGAGTTAATGCAGTGATCGAAAACAATCACTTTTGCACAACACACTGATCATACCTCAATTGAGCCACTTTTTCTTCAGAATATCGGATCTGTTTTCGAGAAACACATTGGGATTGTTCAATGGAAAACTCATAAACACTCACCCAAATCTTCTTCTCCAACTAAATCAAATCCAGCAACAAAATCAGGAAATCTCTTCTTTATCCTCCTGAATGTATAGATATACTGCTGCATCGTATTATTAGTGGCCGATCTATGAGGAGCGTAAATAAATTTAGCTCCAATGAAGTCAGGATAATCTCTTTTGAATTTATCCAAAGTATCGTGATACATTTTCACCACTTCAACAGCATCATAAGTATGTCCATTCAGATCGTAAACTTCTGGTATATATCCTCTGAATTCCAAATATTTCACGTTATCTTCGTGAAGTTCCTTTAGAGCTTGGTAAAAATAATCCTGCCAAACAGGGTAGTATGCAATCAAATTTTCAATCGCTAGAAAAATATTTGTAAATGACTTCCAGACTGTTCTTAGGTCACGATACTTTTCACTTGGATTATCACATATTAGAGTCAATTTGGACCGTAGGAAATTATCGAAATTGGGGTCTTGTTTCCTCATGTCATTCACCAAACTCCAATTGCAAAATTTGTTAACTTTGTCAGCACTGAAAAAGTGTAACTTGAGTTCACCATTCACCACACAACTATAGAGGTTATCTCTGAATGTTAAGTTGTAAAGGAATTCATTGGATGCAAGAGCTAAGTCATGAGAATGCAGAGAAGCTCCTTTAGGAATCTTCTTGATCAATTTGAATACTTTGGACTGCTCAATTCCTTCCTTAGCTTCGAAGAAATGCTTCGCAGCAAGAAAACTTTCCGGATTTTGGAATCCTTCGTCGAATTCACGGAGTTTGTAATTCATGAGGATGCCATTAACTTTTTGTTCTTCTTTGGTCAACTTCAAACTGCTACCCAACGCGTGTCTTCTGTCTTTCTTCATCAGTATCGCCCTGTTCTTCCAGTATTCTTCTGTTGTTGTACAAGATATCATTGTAGAAAATATGAGGACGATAAAGATTTGGATTGCTACGTAGGTTCTCATTGTGTCACACTTGATATTGCAAGTACATCTGAAAAAGGAAACAATAATCACTGACATGGAAATGATACTATCAGGTTCCTGGAGTCATTATCCGCAATATGAGTAGTTACCATCTCATGATTTCCATTTGAAACTACTGGTAGAAAATATGATAATTGTATAAGTATATTATGTTATTTGTGATACACTACTTTCATTGTAGGTGTGGGAATAAGACTTGTTTTTTACAGATGATGGTTACACGCTCACGATTCCCTCATTGAGGCTGCTTTCACATTCATTCGTTTTCACGGATCCGTTGGATCATATGTGATGAATATTGACTAATAAAAATCGACACGGATGTGTCGGCAATCGCAACGTACCCAGTTGGCTCAATATCAAGTTTCCTCCGTTCAATTTGTCCGTGATGAGAAGAAAGCTAGGTTAAGTAAATATTTTAATTTTTTCGATTTTTCCTAAACCGTTGACAACTCATGAACTTTGTGGGATGTGTTCGTAGTTTATCTATGGATATGTTCTAAATGTCTCAAAATGCATGTTTCATGAATAATTTCTGAAACTAGGAATCCCAACACAAAAAAAATATGAATTAGAAGTCATACTGTCACCAGATGCCAAATAACGAAGCGTAATTTCTAATATGGTTCTTGGTTGTTTTTCAAGTTCAGTCTCCAAGAGTCCGAGCAATAGATAAAACATATCAGGCGACATCCTTAAATGATTGAAAAAGTTTTCATTGCCAAATATTCACTTGCGTCATGGAATCTTCGAGAATTGTCTGTGAAGATAGGTCCAAAATCTACGATTTTTCTTTCAATATTCTGAATCTCTCCATGATAAATCGAATGAATACAAATTTTTGACCTTTCCCTTCATTATTTTCTGCTCCCATATTGTTTTATTTCTTGGAGATATTTGCGCAGAACAGGGATAACAACGGAGCTCACAGAACCATTCCATCCGGAAGGGACCCAAACTTGTGAATGTGAATCACGCAAACGTAGATCTGTGAAAACACATGCATGTGAAAGCAGCCTGACTCTTAGCATTTTTTTGTCCAAGGTCCAGCTACAAATTTCGACCGTCATCTGATAAAATGATATATGTCCCAAAGGCATGTGAAACCATTGTAGTTTATCGAGCGGCAGCTATGTCAATCACTATATCCTCAGCAAAATGATTGAGAAATAACACTTTCCTATGCGTAAATTTGCACTTGATTTGGCGATTTGATAACGAGATGAGAATTATGCCATCCGATACCACTTGAATGGTAGATTTCGAAAACCTACCTGTGCCACGCCTCAGTCCAAGCGAAAACCACGGCACAGCGATGTATCTGCTGCTATTATTCCTGACATACTTTCGTGATGTGTTAACGAGTTTAAAGAAGAAGCAACTGGATGGGGATGATGTCATCTTTGCGAATATCCAAACGTGCCGCGATTCAAACTGATCCAAGTTAGTGGCATAGCGTCAATACTTTCGAGAATATTTCGCTTCCCTCTGAAGATAATATCTGATTAACCAGTGAAAAACTCAACATGTGGACTGGAATACTTATAGTGTGAGCACCACACGGGTTCCACACTGATTCATCGGATATCATCTTCCGACGAGGGCGAAATATTCACGGAAATATTGACGCTCTGCCATTAACCCAGCCAGCACAAAGAGGTCCTGAAAATATCTTGAAGAAATCCTTCTAGGAAATTGTGATGCCTTTTGTAACTTCTTTGGGAGATCGCCGAGAGTGCTATATCTAGGCCAAATGTCCGCAACTTAGGCTGAGCTCAGCGAGGTCTTGAAGATATCGCATGCAGAAATTCACATACAATGCCCTCAGGCGCGCACTTTGAGATATACGCTTCAATCGCCACTGGCGAGATCTGAAAGTGCTCGCAATCATGAGCTGTTTGAGAAATTCGCATACATTGCTTTGTGACGTGGACATTGGGAGTTTCGCATCAATTGCTTCTGGGGAAGTCTGTGAGTGCTCGCGACTACGAGCTGTTTGAGATTTTCGCACGCATCGCCTTGTGAAGAGAACTTTGGGAAATTCGCATCAATTACTAATAGCGAACTCTTCAAGTGCTCGCAACTATGAATTGTTCAAGAATCCGTGCACATCGTCTTATTACGAGGCCACTAATATGGTAAGGTGTTCAATTTTTGGGAAGTCATTGGTTATCAGCAGTCTCCTGTCGGCGAAGTCTAACTAGTGCCAGCTATATTCTTTGGGGTTAAGTTAAATTTACTGGATATTTGTTTCAGCGAAAAAGATTGGATTAACACAATTAGAGTTAGATCAACGTAATGAGCTTTAATTATATATTATCCTATAGCAAGACATTGATCAAGTGAACTTTATCACTTGAAAAAATCTCCGAGGAGTTGGTCGGGTATTCTTTAAAGGTCGTCCGATATCTACCCACGAATTTGAGGTAGATATTCGATTCTTGATCCCACCTGAATTGGAACATTTTTGTCTTTTTCGTCAGAGCAGATGATTAATTATCATTAATTTACTGCAAAATTTGAAATAATCTTCCATAATGGCGGAGAGATAATAATATGTTTATGTTTAAGATAATAATATGACCTGTTGAACACATTCTCTGAGACAGTAAGAAAATCTAGTATCTAGTATACAATTATTATTATCATAGATTAATGACTCCCATTTCATGTTAATACTGGGTGTCCCAAGATATCGTAAAGGTACCGGCAAAAACTTGCTTACTCGACAAGATGAACAAGAAATAGTAAAAATGCTTCAAATGACATCAGAGAACTTTTTTTATGACTCAAAAAAAAGTGTATTAGATTAGAGAGCTTCCGGTAGCAACTCCTCAATTTTTATTGAATGGACTCCCTGTATATTGTCATTGAAAATTGCCTATCATCCTATTTCGGGAATGAACGATAGCACATCGGTTCTTTGTATTTTGTTCATTAATAACAACATTAACAATAACAATTTTTCACCTCATTTACGTTACATCGATTGAAAATTGCCTCCTCCCATGTTCGTAAAGATGTCCCTCAATAAAATTAGATTAATTATTACACTAAGTAGGTACCGTCTGCAATGATTGATATTCTGCAGTTCAAAATGGAATATCTGTCATTAATATTGTGAAACAAAAATTCAATCCATACTTCTTATTTGTGAACTTCTAGAACACATGGATGAAAGCAATTTGTCATTTGAGTAACGTGAAAAAGTCACAAAATGTTCATGTTTTTGTTGTTATCAAGAACAAAACACCAAGGATGTGCTATATCGTTGTATTCCGAATAGATTGACACGCAACTTTCAGAGACAATATGCTACTAGAAAATAAAAACTGATCAGTATCTACCATCCGGGGGCTGCCAAATATATCACATTCTTCATAAGCCATTAGGAAGGTTATTTAATGCCATTTAATGCAGTTTTTTTATGCTTTCGATATCTTGACAAATAGGCGAGATATTGCCTGTAAACGATAACCTTCGGACACCCAGTATTTGAATCATAAAGGCTATTGGAAAAAACAACTCGATATTTGTGTAGGAATATTCATTAATTATTCAGGTTATATTTGTGATTACTTTAGGAGCTCGCAATGGGAAATGCTCGATCTTGTTACGGCCAGGATATCCTTGAGTGCTCGCAGAAAGAAATGCTTATTCATTTCCTGTTATAGATAACCTCAAGGATTCGCAATAATGAGGAATATATCAAATCTGAGGCGAGATCTCCGCGATTGCTTTCGGACGACTCTAGAGAGTATTTTCCATGGTGAGAGCCTATAGTGATCTTTGGCACCTCGCAGGAGGATTTCGCATTTTGATCCTGAAGATAACTACTAGAGATATTGCGGAGAGTTCCGTGTTACCTGGGAACTTAGATCAGTTTGATTGCGGCACGTTTGAATATCCGCAAATGGAACATATTTCCCCTTCACTTGTTTTTTGTTTCAACTCGTTATCACGTGACGAAAGAATATCCGGAATGATAGGAGCAAATAAATCACTGTGCACACATTATCAAATCGCGAAATCGAGTGCAAATTTCTGCACAGGAAAGTATAATTGCTTGATCATTTTGCTCCGGATATGGATTGGCACAGGTGCCGTTCGATGAACTACAATGTTTTCACTTTCCTCTGATTTCGTTATCAGATGGCGGTAGTACCTAATCTGCCGCCAGCTCTCCTACTATAAAATTTTTATTGAAAGATGTCAGTCTTGCATTAGGATATGAATGAGATTATAATCAATTAAGCGAATGAAGGGGTCAACCTCGGAATGTTGAATGTTGTCTCAGGAGTCTTATGAAACCTCATGTCGCGTCGAAGTTATAGAAGGTCACAAAAATTAGATTCACGCGATTATTTTGTTCATATGATTTCAGATCAATAAGAACATTTAATTGAGTTGAGCTATCCCAGACGGCACTGGATATTCCTATAATATTCTCTAAATATGCTAAAAAGGAGGAGCATATTCCGAATATCCATCGATTATTCCTAGAATATATACATGCCTCTGGAACATCTGAAAGGAATATTCCAAAGTGAATAGTCGCATATGTTCAGGGAATATTCAGGTATGAATCATCTAGGAATATTCTCAAACGAATATTCCCTCTTGTATATTTATGAAATATTCCCAACTGAATGTTCAGTGGGGTATATTCATGAAATATTCTCACCTGAATATTCTGTGCGGTATATTCATGAAATATTCTCAACTGAATATTCTGTGGTGTATTTTCATGAAATATTCCATGAGTATTCCTATGTTTCTCAACACATAGATACCAATCATTATGAGATGTGAGTATCGAACATCAATTAGATGTGAGGAGATTCTGAAACAAAAAGTGTTTATGATCCGATTTCGAACAACGCTCTCACAAGAAATTGATATGTACATTATTATTCAATTCGATTGTCAAGGCGTTGCTCTGATAGTCTTGAGGTCACGAGTTCGATCCCTACTTGGGTTACTTTCTTTATTTTATAATATGTTCAT